ACCAAGTTTAGTAGAGTTTTCACTCATTGTAGCTACAAGACAGCAAAAAACAATTAGAAACTCCTAGAGACTAATACAAAGGAGAATAACAGCAACAGGTCTTATTAGGTGAACCATAGACCCATTAAAAATACAGCCCCCAAACACTACGTAAGACCCCCTTTTGCAATTCAAACACCAACGTTAAAATCTGAACAATAAACAGAAAAGATAGCTGCAGAACGAAAACATGGTTCAGAACCCTGATATCAACTGCAGGGTCAACCAAGGAGACCATAAATAGGTTAAGGAGGACAAAATTGTTTCCCCATAATTTCGGTAGACATTACTGACCACTTGAAACAAATCTATAACACTGTTACTTCAAGAGGCCAAAATGCTGGATCATTTAAATTCTCTAATGAGAAAAAAATCCCTTTTTCTTGGTTTCTCAAGAGAAAGACTCTAAATTGGTCAATGAAATTCACTTAAAACCAGGTTTTAACTGCGTCTGTGTGTGTGTAACACTACTGGGAGAGAAGCAGGACACCAAGATCCTCTCCAATCTACTTTCCAGTAACTCAAAATGGACACCAAGGGGGGAAACCCCACATTATGCTCACCTTGGAATCATTTCACCTTAAAACAGGTGTTATTAAAAAAAAAAAAATTAACTCTCCAATTACTAAAGTCATCCCTCACATTGCATGAAAGCAGGGAAATTAACACCAATGCCTCAAGATTACAAAGGACATTAAAAAATAATGTAATTATTTAGAACTGTATACACAGACTTCTAAATAAATATCCTGTGAAATAAAATCCTGTGAAAGAAATAAAAATCCTGTGAAATTTAAATAATGCAGCAAGCATCTGATTTTGCTGGATATCATTCTCCATGTTAAGCCGTACAACTTTCATGAGTCAAGATACTTGGGTATTGTACTCAGTCCAATAACTTTCTGCCTCTGTACAGTACAACAAAGGTAGTGGTAGTGGGAAGAATGAAGAAAAATTAACATAGACAAAAACTTACTAAATACTGATCCTAAATGAAAAGCAAAACTATGTCCAAGAAAGTTAAGAGGCTAATGGAGTAAAGAAACAAAAATAAACACAGAAAATTAAAAGCTAAAAAAAAATTTTAGCAAACAAAGTATTTACTACTATAGCACTCATAAGCTAGTTTCAAATGCTCATCTTTTTCAAGAGAAAATCCACTCACTTTCCCATTTAAAGCACACATTACCTCACAACACTAACAAAATTTTAAAATGAAAGGTAGATACGGAAGACTATCAAACTGTAAGCAGGAGCAATTTAACTTTAACAGAAACATCTATTTGCTTTCTGTATCTATATATTCATCCCCACAGTCTCGGACAGGTAGCTCCTTTCCCATCCAATACTTTAAGGATACCGGTGATTGTAAAGCCAATTTAATTATCTATATTTTGGTTTACTGATTATGAAATTTGAAGGAGAGTTCATTCCTGAGAAAGTGTTGGAAGATGCTTTGAGCGTTCCCCATCGGTGACTGGGAATAAATAATGCCACCAGACAGGCTTTATATTTCATATTTAAACATTTCTCAGGATGTCTGACTTAAAAGTGCAATCTAATGATGAAACAAAAAAACCCACCAACTTGCCCTTTTAATTGTGAAACCCAAGGGGAGAATTCACAAACCAAAATGAAATGTTTTGCTCATTTAAATGTTTAAAACACTAACCTTCATATACTTGCAATTATTAATGCAATGTATTAGAATTACATACTGTGGGAACCATAACTTTGAATTTCGTGATTTCTATGTAAATATTTCAATGCTTATGTTAAAATCTGTAGCTTAACATGGCTGAATACACATGTCAACATATTTGTAGAACTGTTAGTGAAATCTAAGAATGCAAACTGTGGGTTTAAGAAACTGCTGGAGAGGAAAAAAACTGCTCAGAAGATCTAGTCTTCTCTCTTTTCTGGACATATGTGTGATGTTTTTCATGCTGAGTATTTAAAAAAACTGAACTGCAATGGTTTAAATTTAAGGCCCTTCTGTATTTTAGAATAAGCACGTTTGAAACATGACAGTGACCAAAACAATTCTAAAGACACAATGACTTTCGTCTCAATGTACAAGATATCCATTCTTTAAACAGGGCAATACTGAAAATACCTGCTTTCTCTAGAATTCAGTATAGAGTAACTTAGAGAACAGTATACCAATCAACAAGGTTTTATTCCTTTGTCCATGCTTGTAACCTTCTTCCATGTCACATAAATTTCCAAGATAAAAATACTTGGCAAAATTCACATTGTGCTACCCTCCCAAAATTAGGTTTCTTTTAAATGAATCGAAACACTATGAAGTGAATGTAATAATTTCCTTTTTCGCTCCTAACTTCTCCCCCTAACAGCTGTGGAGGAAAGGGGACTTGGAACTATATATGGGTGTAATTTCCCAACCACAGAGATGCAAAGTTAAAATTTCTGGAGGAAAAAAGTTGAAGAGTTAGATCCTTAAATACTTTAGGTTTTCATTAACTTACCAATGTAGTTTTATTGGAGGCCATTTTTTATTGCAGACTTGAAGAGCTATTACTAGAAAAATGCATGACAGTTAAGATGTTTGTAAGACATAAAAAGATAGCTACACACAAGTTTTGTTTGGATTCCAACCCCCACCTAGGTAGCTCATGTCATCAAACGTATATAGAAGTCCCTATGACAAGCAGTTTTAAGATTCTGTGTAAACTAGGGATACGTGCCTGAGAGTGTATTAGTGCTGTGACTTATCTATACAACCTTACTGAGGACACAGTATCCGCGAAAGCTTTACAGGGTAAAAATTTGACAAATTTTTTTTTTCCCCAATCCAAATCCCATTTAAACCATAGTCAGTATTTTAAAAAACGAGCAAAATAACTTGGTTCAAAACCAGACAACTGCCCAATCGATTACAATAATTAGTGTGAATTTTTCCTCTATACTTATTAACAGTCCGAAGGGTCGTCTATGTAATTTAATTCCAACTTGGTTTCTTCTTAGAGACCTTCCCAATCACTAGTCGAAAAACTAAAACACACCGAGATGCTCCAGTTACATTTCGTGCCACTTTTGAAAACAAATCAGCTATTTTTGCACTTTCATCCGCTCCCCTTAAACCCTTACCCCACCCGGCTTAACGAGGCCTTATAGCGCCCGGCCCCCACCCCCGCCACACGAGAGCCGGCCTCGTGGTCAGCGCATCCGCGGGGAGAAACAAAGGCCGTGGCGCGGGGGCTCAAGGGCACTGCGCCACGGGGCCAGCGCCTCTCCCCACCCGGCGGCGGCCACGTAACGGAGCGCCCGCCGCAGTCTGCGGACACTCGCCTGCGCGAATGCGGGAGAAAGAACCGCCCTCCCTGGAGGCCCAAGTCGCCGACCAGGCACGGGACGGGAAGGAAGGCCCCCTCAACCTCGTCCGGGATGGGGGAGGGGAAAAATGCGCTTTGTCTAGAAATAAGGCGACTGGCAATACAGCTTTCAACCTTGTGAAGTCTCGTCCCCTAAACCAACTACAGACGCCGGCCCGGAGCCAGGCCCGCCGCGGGGTCTCTGTTCGCTTCTCCTTTCCTTCCCGCCAGCTCCTGACTCGGGGTCCGGCGAGAAAGGATAGGAAGCGGGGAAATGGGGGTCTCTGGGGCTTATGTGGTATCTTAAGCAACACCACGGAGTGAAAGCTAGAGAGAAAGAAAGACACCGACTTCACCGCCTCTGAGCTGCTCCGAGTCCCGGGTCTGCGGCGTCTCCGGCCCTGCGCGCCTCAAGCTCTGGTCACATTCGAGGGGGAGGGGGGCTGGGGAGCAGCGCCGCGCGCGGGGCCGCCGCCGGGGGGAGGGGAAGGTGGCACCGCCCACGCCAGGCAGCCGTGAGGGGCGGGGTGGGCGCGCGCCCCGGGGGGGTGGGGCCGCGCAGTGCCCGCCGGGAGCCCGAGCCCGAGCCCGGGCCCAAGGGAGGGGGGGTGGAAAGGTGGGGGACGTGACAGCGGCTCTTAAAGAGTTCGTGGCGTGGCGCCTGGTGGTCCCCGGAGGGGAGGGCGAGAGGGGCCTGAGGGCCGCGACGTAAGTCTACTCGGTGGAGGTGTTTCCTGCTTTGCTGCAGCCTTAGTGACTGGCGCCAAAACAGGACTCCGCCCACTTCCTCGCCCCTGGGGTTGGGTGCCTCCAAACGCTGGGGGTGGGTGGGAGGAATCGGGAACTAAGAACGAGCACCACTTGCGACTACCTGAAATGTGGACCCCAAAAACACTGGCCAGGGTTAGGGTGGTGGATCGTTAAGTGTAATTTGTTGACTAGAAGTCGCTTCGGGTGTTTCCGGAAGGGGCAAGTCGGTCCTCCGCGCAGAGAGGGGAGGATAGGAGAAGGTGGGGGAGGGAAAACACAGTGGAAGAGGCTACAAAGATTTTTTTAAAACTGGAGGCCGGGGAAAAGCTATCAAAGCGTGGCTGTAAGGACCACCTCCCGGGTTGAGGGGGCTGGACCTTTGGGTTGAGGATTAAGCTCCTCCCAACAGCGTTAATTTCAAACTGCGCGACCGTTTCTCACAGGCCTTGCGGGGGCAGGCTCCAATTCCGAGAGGCAGAAATACGCAGGACTCGAGCTTTCCGCAATTTACAGAGCCCTTTTACGCAACTGACGTCCAGCACCAGTGCTGGCCCTAAAGGGGGAGGGGCACGTACTTGGCGCTAGGAGGTCGTAGAGCGTTCCCGCCATTGGCGGCGGTTAGGACGTTTACGCAACGGCCTGACGTAGGGGAAGACGCGTTAGTCGGGGGGAAGGTTCTAGAAAAGCGGCGGCAGCGGCTCTAGCGGCAGTAGCAGCAGCGCCGGGTCTGGAGTGGAGGTGCTCCAGCGGTGTTGTTTCTCGAGCAGCGGCAGTTCTCACTACAGCGCCAGGACGAGTCCGGTTCGTGTTCGTCCGCGGAGATCTCTCTCATCTCGCTCGGCTGCGGGAAATCGGGCTGAAGCGACTGAGTCCGCGATGGAGGTAACGGGTTTGAAATCAATGAGTTGTTGGAAAGGGCATGGCGAGGCCGTTGGCGCCTTATTGGAAGTCGGCCATCCGCCTCCGTGGGAGAGCGGCAGCGAAACTGGGCCACTTCATAAGCGGTTGGTCTCAGGATATTTTGGGAGAGGGGTCGTTAGCAGAGGCCTAATTGTACAGCACCTTCCCCACCCTCAGCCTCACGGCGCCATTTCCCTTTGCTGGGGGTGGGGGATGGGAAGCTTCCACATGGCGGACGCAGCCCCACTTCACTGAAAGTGGGGCGCGGAGGCAGGAATTCCTACTCCGTTTTTAAAGAAGGGTGGTTTGGGGGTCCCGGCGTCCCCGCGTTGGAGCGTTTCGGCGGGTTTCGGGTTCTAGTGAACGGGGCTGCGGAGCTTCCCCTCCCCCCTCCCGGGAACCGGATTTGGCGGCCGCCATTTTCATTTCTCTCCTTCCTCGCAGCGATTTCTTTTTAACTCTCTAAATTTGACTAGCTTGATTTTTTATCAGTGAGGAGTAGAAGTGGGTAATTATTTCTTTCTCTTTTCGGACTGTTTTCATGCTGTTTCGAGGTGGATTCCGAGTGTTTAGGGAGCTTGGAGCTTTAAAGTCCTGCGCACCTCATTAGAGGCTCGCTCCCTTCCCCTCGATGAAATGGCGCCATTGCGTTCAGGAGCCGCACCGATGGGCGGGGGGAGGGGCGGCGTTCTCCTGGGCGGTTTCGCTCGGCTTAGGAGGTAAAACCCTCTAGGGTGTTGGGCCCGGTTTCAAGCGAGCCACGGTATAAAGACCCCACATTTTGTTTTTCAGTCCTTGTTTGAGTAACAGTTTTACCTGCGTTTGCGGTGATTGAAAAGACAGTTGACTCGTAGGAAACTTAAAATGAAAAAATTTAGAGAATATTATTGTCGATTTTGCGGGAGGCCGTGGGGAAGGTGGTCTTTGGCGGGGGGCGGTGTTCTGTTGAGAATCCTTTATTTTCCTGACGGATTCTTTTTTAATCGTATGATTTATTTGTATTTTAAGTAGTATTTTTACCGGGGAATTTAATCTTTACTGGGTAAGGCCACGGGTGTTTTTTAGTGATATACTTGAAATTATGAGTTTAGTTATACTCTGATTAAAACATGGCTCGGTTCCTCAATGCGTGTTCTGCTGTATACAAAACTTTTTATTAGGCTGAGCCACTATGTTTTTGAACTTTGTCACTTGCTTTTCTCGTTTATGTTTGCAATCATGGTTGATGATTACATTTGATAAGCATAAGGTCTCAAGCGAAGGGGGTCTGCCTGGGTATTTTCATTGACCCTAAGCACGCTTATAAAATAACTTTGTTTGTAATCGATAGTGGACAGCGGGTAAGTTTGGAAAATGAGGTAAGTAATGAGTTTTTGCCTTTTGTTAGTGATTTGTAATGTTGTAGATGTATTTTAGTCTCTATAATTTATTTGGGTTTTTAAAGGCCAGTTAACTGACAAGTGTTTGGAATAAATAAAATATGCTTGAGTGTCCAAAATACCAGTATGCCAAGTTACCGTTTTAATTGTTCTTTAAGTGTTTCATAAGCTAGTTTGAGAATTTGTCTTTTCAAAAATGTCAGAATCTTCAAAGTAACTATACAGGCATAGAAGTCTGAATTATCACTGTTTTCTGAACTATTGGGAGAATTTCGTGCATGGAGAGAAAAACTTCATGGAACTATGGGTTGAGTGTTGTAGTTCTATTTAATAAATTTAAGTACATCCACTTGGTGGCTAACTTTCGTTTCTGAATGTTATTTAACCTAGTCAACTTGAGAACCAAATACAATGATCCAAGCTTCCGTAACTGATAGCCCAAAATACAGAGCTATTAATGTAACTTACATGCGTGCTGGTTTGTAAGGATTGAGATTTCAGCTCAGGCTCTTTTCACGTGAAAGTTGTTTTATGCTGTGTAATTTGCCAGAAGACCACTGAGTTCTACATGGTGAAGTGTAAATGGTAGTAGTGATATCTTGTAACTAGAGGGGATAGTCACAGTGGTAATTTAAATATTTTTATGGTTTTTGAAAAGTGAGGTGATTACAGAGTCTTTTACTGTATTTGTCTTTTGGTTCAGTAATATTGTGCCGTCAACAAACCAGCTATGTTAAAACTATGTGCTTTAGACATCGTAAATCATAAAAGTCATTTTACTTTGGTCAGAAAAGATATATTTTGAGGCTATTTTGCCACATATATTGAACGTTTAAGATTTTCTCTGGAGAGTTGGTAGTAAGTTTTTCAGGGTGTTGAAAATTGAGTTACATTATAATCACCACCAGAGGGAGCAATGAAGGGAAACTCATTTTTTAAATGCTAAATCCAGAAATAAATGGGAACTGTGGGTTATAAAGCAAAAGTTATATTTTTAAAATTTGTATTTGAATATGTAAAAGTGAACTTCTCTGTTCTGATGCTATAGGATCGAATGCAGATGTTGATAAGAATTTTTTAACTTTACAGTCACCAGGGAATAGATTTGCTCTTCTTTCTTCAGAAAGATGTTTTTTTAAACTGAGTGATGCTATATTTGTTTAAACTCATTTAATGTCAAGTAAATTAATATCAAGCATAATGATTTTGAAACGTGTAGTTTGGCTGAGGCAATTTTTTTTTTGGTGTAACACAGCTAATATGCAGTTTAACATATGGTTTAAATTTGATGTAAGTTTTTTTTTTCCCCCCCAGAAAACTTTAGAAACTGTTCCTTTGGAGAGGAAAAAGGTACTCTGCCAGCAGGTCACCTCATATTTAAGAATTTTATTTCCAGCATACAAAGAGGAAATGTAAATAAAAATTGAAATGCTGTTTTCCTTTGCAGAGAGAAAAGGAACAATTCCGTAAACTCTTTATTGGTGGCTTGAGCTTTGAAACTACAGAAGAAAGTTTGAGGAACTACTACGAGCAATGGGGAAAACTTACAGATTGTGTGGTACGTTAATTGTGGAAGTGCTTAGGGGTACTAGTCCTTCAACTGTTGGATTTCTCTGTTAAAGATGTTAAGTGACTTAGAAAAAAATGACTTAAATTCATGTTCATTATTTTAAAATGCTGTAATGAGATTAAATGGTAACATCACTGCTTTGTATTTCAAGGTAATGAGGGATCCTGCAAGCAAAAGATCAAGAGGATTTGGGTTTGTGACTTTTTCTTCCATGGCTGAAGTTGATGCTGCCATGGCTGCAAGACCTCATTCAATTGATGGGAGAGTGGTTGAGCCAAAACGTGCTGTTGCAAGAGAGGTGAGGAAATACGCAACTTGTTTGTTCAGTAAATAATTTGGGCCGAAATTCTGTTTCACAGTTAGTGGCTTTTCAAAGAAAAAAATGTTACCTGTATAAGACTAGGTTTTTTATCATAAAGGTGCCTTAGTATTTGGCCATAAGATAGAAGCCATACTTATTACCTGGTGTGCTCTTACTCCTGTTTGTGGTTTTTCTGTCAGGATGACTTTTTTTCCCTCTTATTTCAGGAGTCTGGAAAGCCAGGGGCTCATGTAACTGTGAAGAAACTGTTTGTTGGTGGAATTAAGGAAGATACTGAGGAACATCATCTTAGAGATTACTTTGAGGAATATGGAAAAATTGATACCATTGAGATAATTACTGATAGGCAGTCTGGAAAGAAAAGAGGCTTTGGATTTGTTACTTTTGATGACCATGATCCTGTGGATAAGATTGTGTGTAAGTGTCCGTAAGTGGTAGGATTGTGGCTCTTAAGTTTAGGTTTGGGGTATGTTAACAGTTACAACTTTGTTTAAAAAAGCTTAGCTATTACAGGATGCTGACTTAATGGACTCTGAACTTTTCATTCCAGTGCAAAAATACCATACTATCAATGGTCATAATGCAGAAGTAAGAAAGGCTTTGTCTAGACAAGAAATGCAAGAAGTCCAAAGTTCTAGAAGTGGAAGAGGAGGTAACTTGTAATTCCATTTTTTTCTTAAGATTTATTTGTATAAATATTAGTTACTAACCAGGGTGTTTATTGTAGGCAACTTTGGTTTTGGAGATTCTCGTGGTGGCGGAGGAAATTTTGGACCGGGACCAGGAAGTAACTTTAGAGGAGGGTCTGGTAAGTCCACCTTCTAAGCTTAGGAGGGTGAATGTGCTTGAAAAACAGTTTTGATTGGAATCTAGGAAGTCCAACCTACTTTGTTATCTGTAAGACTTAAAGTGAGATCTGTCCTAATGGGATATTCTAATTTGGTTGGCAAGAGGTAACATTTGAAATCAGAGTTGTATAGCTCTAATCAAGGACAGATAATTGCAGAGATTGTTTTATGGTCTTCAGTTTCTGGAAGAGTTAAGAGGACATTGTAGCCATTTTAAATTTAGGAGACATTTTACGAATAGTGGAGATAGTGTAGAGGTTTGAAGAGATCTAAAAGTTTGTTTTAGGCTTTATATATGGGTTAACCTCAGTTATGTAGTAAGTAGAAAAACTGCCACTGTCCATTGTTAACTGCTTTTTATAAGTGGACAACCTGGAGGAAGTAGAGGCTAAAAAATTGAGTGACATGAACCAGAATAAAATAATCCTCCTTTTCTTCTGCCCTTAACAGATGGATACGGAAGTGGCCGTGGATTTGGGGATGGCTATAATGGGTATGGAGGAGGACCTGGAGGTCAGTTTTTTCTACTTTTTGATAATACATGTCTAAAATCTTAATCACACTGTGTGCTGTCCATTTGAGCCTAAACATGAAATGTCTCTTCTAAATTTTCATCTTAACTATTTAAAATTAGCAAAAAAATTACTTGCAGGTGCTGGTATACTGCTGCAACATCAATTGGGTAGATTTTAAATGAGAATTTAAAAGATGCCCAATTGTTTCTCAAGCAAAAGAATTGGAGAGAGATAGTGATATTTTGTATAGTGTTTTCCGTAAAACTTAAAAAGTGGTTATGAGCAAGATGAACACTATGACAGGGTAGTGTCTGTAGGAGCACTGTGTTGTCTCATCTCTTAGCAGAATGAATCTACCAGGACAATGTCCCAAAAGCCCACAAGAGAATTTTTCCAGAACATACCTAGTGTACTTCTATGTCCAGCTAAGGTTTTAAGCCACTGTTAAGTATTAGTTCATGTGTTTTGTTGAAGTACGGAAAAGATATGTACCTACTGACAAACCTCATAAAAAAGAGGTTTGAAACTGAGCTGGGGATAGACCTCATTTCTGGTTTTGCACTGATTAGGCATAACTTAAGTTAATCCTACATGTCACTATATCTAGCTTTGCTTTGAAATCCAAATAGATTGATTTAGATTTATGAGAAAGATGACTTTTTACACTTAACTGCAAGCAATCTGAAACTACCGATTAAGGTTTTAAGTCAGTGCAAGTTTGCTAATTTCTGGTTCTCCCCCCCACCCCCCACCCCCCACACATTTCTACTGAAGAGAAAGGTATGGTGGGCATTTTATTTAAGAGAAATGGTAGGTAATTCACATTAGCCCACACATCTTGTCTGTCCCACCTTACCCCATAATCTTCCACAAATAAAACTAGTATTTCAAGATACCATCAAGAGAATCCATAGTGTCTTTAGTTTTGGGGGAGACCAGTGGCATTACAGATTATTTGTAAAGGTTTTATCCAGTTGGTTTGTGGGTAGGCCTTCCCCACTGGCAACTCTTCACCAAGGTAGATATTCAGAACCTGCACTTGAGGCTATTTTAGAGGAGATGTTATAGAAAGAATCTTTTTTACTTATAAAATCGAGTTGTTTTGGAAAGCTGGAAATGGATGTAATAAGACAGTTCAAATGGCGTTAAAAATACTAATTACTTAAAGGCTTATTTTATAATAGGTGGCAATTTTGGAGGTAGCCCTGGTTATGGAGGAGGAAGAGGAGGATATGGTGGTGGAGGACCTGGATATGGCAACCAGGGTGGGGGCTACGGAGGTGGTTATGACAACTATGGAGGAGGTAATAAATTCACCTGCAACCTTTATGTGGGAATTTGGATTGGAATTAATGGCTTTAAATAAATGGCTTATTTAAAAATCTTTAATAAGATTTTTCATTTCATTGTTGTCAACAGTTGTCTTTAAAAATGTAGAACTGTAGACAGGTGTTTTCCATTCTGATTTGTTTTTGTGGGAAATTTGTCCAAGATACTTAGCATGTATCATCGGTTTAATACTTGATTGTATGAGGTTCATTGTGCAAAAATGTCCAAATTTTTTTACAGGAAATTACGGGAGTGGAAATTACAATGATTTTGGAAATTATAATCAACAACCTTCTAACTATGGTCCAATGAAGAGTGGAAATTTTGGTGGTAGCAGGAACATGGGGGGACCATATGGTGGAGGTAATTAGATTTTTCAGATAAGTGATGAAATGTCAATTAACTTTTCATGACTTGAAGATGGCAATTGTTCATTATTTATGTTTGGGTAACACGTCCCACCAAATACAAAGTGATATGGAGATTAGAGTTGTGGGAAAATAAGAATGCAGCATCACTTTGGGAGATATCCAATAGTGTAAAATTGATGAATTACATGTTTTCAGTGGGATTTTTCCTTTTGGCTGACTAAGAAAAAAGCCAAATTTGCTGTGAGCACTTTGCAAGTGGTATAAATTTTGTATAACTGTATCTTTGAAAGCTAGCTTAGTAAATCTGAATTTTTAGTTCAAATTGTTGTTATTCTTGAGAAAGTTTAGATTTTTTATATTTTCTTAGGCTGGATATACTTCAAAATCTCTTAACTTGTATGATTATGGAAAAGAGCCCTCTAAAAGAATAGCAGTGGTAATATATGAATCTGGAAATTTGTGTCTTGAGTAAAAAGGTTAACTAGAAACAAGTAATGGTCTGTGATCTGCTTGTTTTTAAAGAGTGGTTATAAAATAATTTGGGAAATTAAGTTTGCTTTCTCTTATTCCATTAACTTTAGGAAATTATGGTCCAGGAGGCAGTGGAGGAAGTGGGGGTTATGGAGGGAGAAGCAGATACTGAGCTTCTTCCTATTTGCCATGGGTAAGTAGCTTTTAAGTTTCACATTGTTAATGTCTTGGGAGACCTAGCTGCCAGGAGTTAAAAGCTTTTTAGGATCATGTTATCTTTCCTTAAAATCTGGTTAGATGGATAATTTCATAACCTATTTTTTTTTTACTCTTTACTTCTGTTGAAACAGGCTTCACTGTATAAATAGGAGAGGATGAGAGCCCAGAGGTAACAGAACAGCTTCAGGTTATCGAAATAACAATGTTAAGGAAAATCTTATCTCAGTCATGCATAAATATGCAGTGATATGGCAGAAGACACCAGAGCAGATGCAGAGAGCCATTTTGTGAATGGATTGGATTATTTAATAACATTACCTTACTGTGGAGGAAGGATTGTAAAAAAAAAAAAAATGCCTTTGAGACAGTTTCTTAGCTTTTTAATTGTTGTTTCTTTCTAGTGGTCTTTGTAAGAGTGTAGAAGCATTCCTTCTTTGATAATGTTAAATTTGTAAGTTTCAGGTGACATGTGAAACCTTTTTTAAGATTTTTCTCAAAGTTTTGAAAAGCTATTAGCCAGGATCATGGTGTAATAAGACATAACGTTTTTCCTTTAAAAAAATTTAAGTGCGTGTGTAGAGTTAAGAAGCTGTTGTACATTTATGATTTAATAAAATAATTCTAAAGGAAATTGTGTAATTATAGACTTTTTATTTTAAATAAGTTAAGGAGTGGGTAGTATAATTAAGGTCTATTGCAAAGCTGTTGTTATATTTGTGTAAGATAAATGCTGGTCAGATGTAAGTGTGTTGTCTGCAATTCATGAGGATTAAATTATCTAGATAACTTAAGGGATATCTCTGCAAGGAGAAACACCTTTTTAGATCTTTTAGATGCTGCTGCTTCAATGCAAGGAAAGGAAAATAACCCCAGCGAGGTACTCTTCAGGGATACAGGTCTAGTACAAGAGAACTCTTTGACGGCTACTAAGGTCAGCCAGTCTTAAGAAACTGCTGTTTCTACAAAGCTTTAACTACAGTAGTTTTTAAGGATGCCAACGAAAGCTGAGGGTGTAGAGCAAAATAGTTCTAAGCTTCAGTTAAACTTCTTTAGGTAAGATCTCATTTACTTTTCCTTTCTTAATTTTCCTCCCCCAAAGATAAACTAATACTCTTCAATGGTCTTTCAGTATAGTTGGTTCTTATGTAGTATAACATAGCTATAAATTAAATTGAGTTTAACAATTTTATAAACTCAAGAGAATAATTTTATAAACCCTGTTTTCCAATCTGTCATTTTACTTATATTATTTTGGTTGTTTTTTTTCCCCCCTTTTTTTCCTTCTTTCCCACCCCCTCCCCCTCTATGAAGATTCAGGTGCTTAACATATCATTTTTTTCCCTGCTGGAATTTTAGCATTGATATGAACCATGGACAAGTATATTCTGCTGCCACAAAGACTGTAAAGTGCTTCATTTCAACAGCTGAGGCAAGCCAAGTGATCATTAATAAAGCTTTTCTTGGTTCCTTCAGTGGTGTTGGTAGTAAAATGGTAGGTAAAAGTTAGGCTGCAAGTTCAATAAATCATGAAATTTCCCATCGTTACACCCTTCTGTATTCACATTTCTTGGATCAAGCATTTTGAGTGAACTAGGGTTTTGTTTTTTTTTTTTAAATAAAGACTTTTTTTTTATTTTGATACTGTTCTAGCTTTACATGCCTATCAGGATCAGGCTAAGGAAAAGGTAGGGCAAGATGGTTGGATCTACTTTCAGATAATATGTATTTATGAATAAAGTGTCTACATTATAAATCTGTACATATCCAATTCTAAATACTTGGGTTTAAATGCAGTAATTCTTTCCCAATCCCCTACCCTATAGGAGAGATATAGGTTGGCTGCTGAAATTTCATTTCTTAGATGTCATCAGAGATTGATTGCCTGGCTTTATTGCCTTTTCAGGAATGTGATAATCAGGGCATATTCTACTGTATGCACCTGTGAGTCTTTCTTTGATCCTAAGACCACCACTGAAGTTATTTAGGTTCTTTGGACAAACATGATAAACTTCTTCAGATACTTTTTTTTTCCTTTGGCAGGAAGGTGTCTTGCTGCAGGTAACTAATGAAGAAGTGGTCAACCACAGAGTCTTCAAGAAATAAGAAATTCTGTACCATCTGAAAGTAGTTCTTGTTTGTGCCTTCATTTTAAAAAAGCACTCTTTAAGATTAAAGGGAAATGTTTTCTGATAAAACACTTCATTTAGTTACAGGGTCTTAATATAAAACAATTACAAATTGAGTATTGTTTGTAAAAGAGTAAACATCAAGTCAGAGAGATAAATGTTATGTTTTGAATTAGGTTTTGTGAGTAGACAGATTAAAATTCTATTTTAAATATAAAGTTATAAAATAAATACTTTTGTATTCAAATACTTGGTGTAATGTTTACACATACAATGTGAATCTTGTTCTATGAACATTAAGTTGTCTAAAGGATTGCCATCCCCTAGATTTTTAAAGCAGTTTCACAAAGCAAATGCATATTGCCATTTTCCTTTCAATATTGATAGACAAATGAGAAAAGCATTGTGGACATTACTGGCTGTCCCTAATAAAATGCCATTCTTTATACACTGTATATTCAGCGTTTGAATAATGCTATAGATTTCTGGCTTTGCCTTGTATGTTTAACGTTGCTGGTGGTGGTTATAAAATACAGATTTTAGCCAGCTGAAGTCCAAGAGGCGGCTATGCAAATGCATGGAGACATAAAATCTATGAATTAGCTTTGTTTTGTTGTATTATACTTAGCATCATGGTTGTCTTGAAGGGTTAAACATGATGGTATAGTGAGCAAAGACTGTTACTTGGATGTTCACTTGAAACAATGAAAAACCAAAGGGGACAAAGTAAAGTTGACTTCACTCTTATGGTTCTTAATGAGGTATCTCACAGGTAAGTCAAACTAATGGCTAACAGAAGATGAGCTTTGTTTAAAATCTGCATCCGTTATTAGCTATAAACTTGTTAGTATCTGGCTGTGGATTTATTAGAAAAAATAAGATCTTAAAAACGTCCAGCTCTGTGAAGAAGTTAAACTTTGAAGATAAATCAAGTTGGTATAATACAATCCTAGAACACCCAGTGTTTAACACCAGCACAAATGGGGGGAAGACATTTTAATATATATGAACAGCCTGAAATGAACTTATTTTGAAATAGGTAATCTGAAATGTTGGCGTGTCTTGTGTTGAGCTGCTAATTTTCTAAAATGAGGTTTAAGAAAGTTTGTGTAAAGACGGAAATTAGTACTGTTAAATACATTCACTTCACAGTGTATTATACATAAAGCTTTTGGAAACAGCTTAACTGATTCTAACTGAAGCTCAGGGTTGTATAACCTGAGCTTGAAAACGTGATTGGGGCTTGAAAATTTGAATCCAAAATGGCCTAATGATAGGAGTTGAAGATAGGTGCTGGCTATTTCCTTCACCCATAGTGAACCAACAGACTTAAAAATGCACCCCATGTTTGAAAGTTGTCCTGTGATCACATGTGGCAGGTGGGGGTGGGGGGTGTTGGCTCATGTGATAACCAAAAGGCAAGCATTACTGGGAACCATCTTGGGGGGTGGCTCCCACCCCTGGTGTCTGCTGCTTTGGTGAAATGTTTTGAAACTGGATATTCTTTGGTTTTCACTATCCCAAGTAAGTGTGTGAGTACAAGTTAAAGTTGGTCTCAAACTCGAATTGTATCCAGTTACTGTTCAAGACGGGGGTATATGGTGCCTTTGCAGGAGGCAGAAAATATCACTGATTTCAGTATACCTGAAGTGCATGTTTAGTTTTGTCTTGGTTTCACTTACATGTCTTCAAAATCTGAAACATGTTCTCAGGTAGTATATACCCAGTGATTTTAATGCTGCTCTGCTGTTACTGAAAGTAATAAAAGAAGCAAATTCAGATCTTTGAAGATGATGGGTGAAGGGAGACTAATTCAGGTATTTTAACATTTAAGTGAAATATGTTTAAATTGTCAAACAAGGATTCATATTCCATAGGAATACTTTCTGGGGTAGGAATTCTGGCATTTAGGCTTTCAACTGCTGTATCGTAAGGGTCAGTGCTGAACTGGAGCCAGCCTTGAAATGGACCCCAAATATCCAGATCTTATTGAGTACCCATTGTTTGAACTGCCTGATGGCTCAGGAAAGAATACACCTGCAGTGCTGGAAATCTGATCCCTGGGTGGAGAAGGGAATGGCTACCCACTCTGTTCTTCCCCAGAGTTCCACAGGATCCCAGCAAGGCCATGGGGTTAAAAGAGATGACTGACTTATTAACACATGCATTGTTGAATTACATACAGTAGTAACTTAATTTCACCTGGGGATATCATGGCCTGTTTAGGTACCAGAAGGGGGATGTGAGCTTTTAATAGGGGGGAAAAAAGTGGTTGAACCAGATTTCACCTTATTTTCAACTGATGTAATTTTATCACAAAGGGATGGTTTCAGGACCAATAATGTTCTATAGGAAAGGGACTACTTTCATGTTGAGAGCAGTTCAAAATGAAACGTTTGGGTCAGTCTGAACTCAGGAAGACCTCAGAACTAGAACAGTCTGGTCAGTCTTGGGGTATGAATTGGTAAGTAGGGAACTTCAACAATACTGGGATGAGGCTTTGACTGCTGATAACCACTGGAGAGTAAGCAGCTTCAGTATTGTGCCAGAGTCCAATGTGTGTATTGTACAAAGTCCAGACAAGCCCATGGCAAATGAGATTGAACTGGCTGGTGATAGCTCCATTAATGCGCCTTTGGGGACTGCACCAAATACCTTAGATCTTGAAATGTTTTAATTTTACTGTGAGTGTTTACAACTATTCAGCTGTATCCCTTTCTTCCCCATTTGATATTCTATAGTTCTGTGTTATGTTTTCAGGGATTGGGGAAGATGGTGAGCCTGAAAAGGACATTCATTGAGCAAACCAGGATATATCTGCAGTTGCAGAAACTTTCACAAGTAAATTGGTTTTATGGACATTGTTACAAACTTGAAATAACTTGTGGTCCTGCCTCTAAGAAACCAGAATGCATGAGGTGTGTTGTCTTGCAAAAAAAGCCAGTCAACACTGAAGTGGGCATTGTACAGAACTAGTCAGAAGAGCTGAACTTTGGCATTATGCTTTGAAACATGCCTAGGTTCAGTTTAAAATGTGAGTTTTCTATAACTCACTCTACTTCAGTAAGCTAAAATAACTGATGTGATACTAGGTAGTGAAGATTTTAATATCTGACCTTATATTTTACTAATCAGATACTGTGTGTGTAGGTGTTCAGTTGTGCCCGACTCTGAAATGGGCAGCCACTTGTTCCAGGGATCAAAGTTGGCGTCTCTTGGATTGGTAGATAAATTCTTAACACTAGCACCATTCAGGTAGCTCTGTCAGACAGACTGGACAGATCTGTTACTATTCTCAAACCACAGTTTGGACAGCTGTCATGTTCTAAGACCTGACCAAGTTTTCAAGTCTCCTTTGTCCTTTTTATGAAATCATTTTTTTGCCTATTTGAGAATGTTTCATTTTGCTTTTATTCAGTCTGCTCATTTACTGATTTATCCCTTTGTGTAAGTCTTGAGTTTTTGTATGATTCATAACGTTTTCACATTTAAGCAAGTTGGTGTGTTTTTTTTTTGGTGTGAACTTGTCAATTTCCTAGATAAGGCAGCCATCCCTACAGGCTAGCTTTACTGCCAGGGAGTTCCAGTTTCCCATATGCAGGTAGTTAAGGTGGGGGGGGGGGAGGCTCTCTGTCCTCAGACATTAAAGCCTAAATGTAGTGTAGTATTTTGAAAGCTCCTGGATTATTGGGGGTGGGGTGATGGTGCTGCATCCTAGAGTAGAACCTGGTCTATTTCATGTCATGTTCTATGTTAGTTTGGGAGGCTAATACTGTCAGTTCAGCATACTGACTTCAGTTTGGCTAGAGTCTGATCAATTTGTAATTTAATACTATTGCTGTCTATTTGCTGGATATTCAACTGGATTTTTGAATGTGGGTATTTTGGAGAACTATAAATTTGCTTAGAATCTATAAAAGGCAAAAGGGAGCACTTTATAAAATCAAATATAAAGTTTATTTCCACAGAAAAAGCTGTATAAGTTAAGTATTCATAAAAATTAAGCTAAAAGGCTCTTGAAAAGTCACTAAACTTCAGTGCTAACTGAAAAAACCTTAAGGTTAAATTGTGTTCTAAGTTAAAAAAACATGTTTTGAAATAACTGCATCCAGTGTTCTTTTAAAAAGACCATCTTTAAGAAATGGCTACCAAAGTAGGCTGTTTTCATGTCACATTGTTTGTACATACTATTAGGACTTCATGAAGTTGTGGCTTATGCCCCAGGTCTGATACTGATACCTAAACTTATCCACATAAGCTTGAAAACATCCTGAGTGATTCAAGCTGTAGTACTTAAAAGTTAACACGAGCTAAACTTGGAAGCAGATTTGTGGTCCTTTATCAGTTTCTAACTGCTTATGTGTATTGGTGGAATCCATCTTCAATTTTTTCTCTCATTTTTCCGTTTTCCCTTTTGGTTTTCCTTTTTCTGGCCTGGGATCATTAATTCCTTGGGTACAATCAAAACACTTCCATCATGGGTGCACTGAAGAGCATACTGGTTTGGACTGATTGGTCTACCTTGATCATCTCTTAACCTACTAAAAACATCACGGTAGAGGTGGTGCAGTTTCTGTTTCATTATGTTTATAGCTTTGTGAAACTGGGATTGCTCTCTTTTAAGGGTTTCCTTCTTTGCTTGCAAGCTACATACATCATCTTCCAGATTCAAAATTACATCCAGTTTACGCTTTCGGCAGTTCTGAGCAGCAACTTTATTTTTCCCTCTTCGTCTAATGTCACGGATGAGCGACAGTTGTAAATCTGTTAGATAGTGCCTGCTTAACATGCTGTTGAAAGAATCTACAGGCATGCGGATAATTTCATCCACAGAAAAAGGGATATGCAAAGCTTTAGCACGTCGTTCATCACGGCTTAAGTTTCTGTCTGTGTCATTCAGGTATCTACTTATTTTCTGTGACTTCCCAGGCCATGAAAAAGATTCTGAAGTGGATTCTAGTGCACTTGGCTGTAAGTGGTAAGTGTGGTTATGTGATACGTATTGAAATGCAAGGTCCCCATGAAAATGACAATCACTCCTGTCATTCATGTGACAAAGCTTACTGGGCTCTGGACAGTATCCTCCTACAGCCCCTTCTAGGTCATGGTGGGAAAGGTCACTGCTAGAACCTGTAGCACCTTCACATACAGAGTGAGAAGAATTAGACTTGATAACAGAGGTGCTATTGCTACTTGAGTCTAAGGAAAGCCCAGAATCATAACCTGGTTCTTCAAGCAGCCAAGAAACTTCCATTGGATCAAAACCTGTGGCCAAAGACATTAAGTTTATCTCATCAAATATGTTTATATCAAGGTCATACAGATGGTCTTGGCTTAGATTCCTCATCTGATTGTCAATAAACGGAAGAAATCCTGTCAAATTAGTTCCAGGAAAGGTCTGTTCAGTATTAGTAGTAGGAGAACATAACTGTAGAATTTGTTCTTGTGGCTGTGAAGTCCTTGCTACTGGATCCCTTCTAAATGTATTGTCAGAACATAGCAACATGGCCTCGTGGAGACTTACATCATGACTTATAGCTTGGCTAAAATTTACATTATAATGTGTGGGGGAATTCATGCCATCATTGATACTTCTGGGGAGAGGAGCAATATCTCCCAGTGAGACTCCCTGAAAAACGAAAGGAAAAATGCTGTAAATACATGAACTATTTCAACACCAGTTCTAATACACAAAGCAGTATTTCTAGTTCTCTTTGCTAGCTCCTCTATACAATTAAGGATATGCTGTTGGCTATGAATAACTTCCCTTAAATGCGGGCAACTGGCTACACAATGTGAGCTCAAATGAGACTATGGTATAATGGGGGAAAGATTAGGTCTTTGAACATCACAGAAAATTTTAAAATAGATGGTCAATATAAAAGCTGGTCTTATATCTGATATTTTCCTGTTACTTATTACTTATCCTAGCTGTTTAAGCTAAGCTAAATTCACCCTGTGGATTGTCATGGAACTATAGTGCTACCAGAAAGACTTAAGGTGTGCCTTATTTTGTCAAGTATGTACTGTCATATTGATTCAACATGGATTTTATGAATTTGATTATACCTTTGTGATTACTTGGAAGGGGGAACTGTGTACAGAGGAGCCTGGTGAGCCACAGTCGATGGGGTTATAATGCACTAGGAACTATTAAGTACTAAAGCTGTATATCCCAGGTTAAAATGTTACATATACTCACAAAGAGGTCAGTGCAGATATTTTCCTGCAAGGATAAAAGCCAATTACCTCCAGTAGATTTTCAGGCTGCGATGAAAGCAATTGAAATAAGTCTTCCAGAGAGAAAAATGCTTCTGTTCCATTTTGATATCTCTGTAGAAAAAATCATTTAAAAGGTTAAAGTGGTTGCCTGGGACTTTTAGACTTAATCCAGAAAGGATAACCAAGTCATATCCAAGCTGAATTTTTAATCTTTATTTTGGATTTTTTATATTCTTTTTTTAGTACTCAGTATTTTAATATCCTGCTTTCAACAAGAACATTTAACTCAACAACTCCATTCCTGCCCTAATCATTTTCCATCGATTTTTCTGGCTTGTGTTCTTAGTTCCACATTATCTTATCCCTCCCCAGCCAACCTTCCAGAGTGATTAGAGGATATTGGAATTTTCAAATATGTATTTAAAGTTACCAAAGTTTTATCAACCTGTTTATTCACTATTGCTTCATCTCCTGCCTTCCTAAAGGGTTTAAGTTTCTTGTTGAAATGATTTGATAGTTTTTTAGAGTGGCTTCATGAACTCTTTAGTCTTTGCAATTTGGAATTATTTTGCCTTCATACCTAGGTCAGGCTTAATGTTTTCCTCCCTCAGCACTGTCTTGTGGCATTTAGTTATAAAATGACAGACCTATAGTAAACATAACTAATCTCCCCCCCCCTCCCCCCCTTCAGTTCAACTGTTCTGTCTGACTCCTCGAAAGCCAGTGGACTGCAGCACGCCAGGCCTCCCAGCCCATTGCCAACTCCCAGAGTTTACTTGAACTCATGTCCATTGAGTCAGTGATGCCATCCAACCATCTCATCCTCTGCCCGTCCCCTTCTCTTCCCGCCTTCAGTCTTTCCTAGCATCAGGGTCTTTTCCAATGAGTCAGATCTTCGCATCAGGTGGCCAAAGTATTGGAGTTTCAGTTTCAGCTTCAGCATCAGTCCTTCAATGAATATTCAGGATTGATTTCCTTCAGGATGGACTGATTTGATCTCCTTGCAGTCCAAGGGACTCTCAAGAGTCTTCTCCAACACCACAATTCAAAAGCATCAATTCATTGGCAATCAGCCTTCCTCACAGTCCAACTCTCACATCCATATATGACTACTGGAAAAATCATAGCTTTGACTAGATGGATACTTTGTTGGCAGAGTAATGTCTGCTTTTTAATATGCTGTCTAGGTCATAACTTTTTTCCAAGGAGCAGGCATCTTTTAATTTCATGGCTGCAGTCACCATCTGCAGTGATTTTGGAGCCCCCAAAAGTCTGTCACTGTTTACACTGTTTCCCTATCTATTTGCCATGAAGTGATGGGACCAGATGCCATGATCTTAGTTTTCTGAATGTTGAGGTTTAAACCAGCTTTTTTATTCTCTTTCTCTTTCAAGAGAAACTCTCTTTAGTTCTTCACTTTCTGCCATAAGGGTGGTATCATCTGCATATCTGAGGTTATTGATATTTCTGCCTGCAATCTTGATTCTAGTTTGTGCTTCTTCCAGCCCAGCCTTTCTCCTGATGTACTCTGCATATAAGTTAAGTAAGCAGGGTGACAATATATAGCCTTGATGTACTCCTTTTCCTAATTGGAACCAGTCTGTTATTCCTTGTCCAGTTCTAACTGTTGCTTCCTGACCTGCATACAGGTTTCTCAAGAGGCAGGTCAGGTGGTCTGGTATTCCCATCTCTCAGGATTTTCCACAGTTGTGATCCACACAACTAAAGGCTTTGATGGAATCAATAAAGCAGAAGTAGATGTTTTCTGGAATTCTCTTCCTTTTTTGATGATCTAATGAATGTTGGCAATTTGATCTCTGGTTCCTCTCCCTTTTCTAATCCCAGCTTGAACATCTGGAAGTTCATGGCTCACATACTGTTGAAACCTGGCTTGGAGAATTTTGAGCATTACTTCCCTAGCGTGTGAGATGAGTACAGTTGTGTGGTAGTTTGCGCATTCTTCGGCATTGCCCTTTGGGGTTTGAATGAAAACTGACCTTTTTCAGTCCTGTGGCCACTGCTGAGTTTTCCAAATTTGCTGGCATATTGAGTGCAGCACTTTCACAGCATCATCATTTAGGATTTGAAATATCTCAGCTCAAATTCCACCTAGCTTTGTTCATAGTGATGCTTCCTAAGGTCTGCTTGACTTCATACTCCAGGATGTCTGGCTTTAGATGAGTGATAACACCATCGTGGTTATCTAGGTCATGACAGTTGTCTAGCTCAGACGGTAAAGCGTCTGCCTACAATGCGGGAGACCTGGGTTCAATCCCTGGGTCGGGAAGATCCCCTGGAGAAAGAAATGGCAACCCACTCCAGTGTTCTTGCCTGGAAAATCCCATGGACTGAGGATCCTGGTAGGCTACAGTCCACGGGGTCGCAGAGAGTTGGACAAGACTGAGTGACTTCACTTTTTCTGTGTATTCTTGTCATCTCATCTTAATATCGTCTGTTGCTGTTGGGTCCATACCATTTCTGTCCTTTATGGAGCCCATCTTTACATGAAATGCTCCCTTGGTATCTCTGATTTTCTTGAAGAGATCTCTAGTCTTTCCCATTCTATTGTTTCTTTCTAATCTCTCCTTGCTATTCTTTGGAACTCTGCATTCAAATGGGTATAATCCTTTCTTTTATCCTTTGCCTTTCATGTCTCTTTTCTCAGCTATTTGTAAGGCCTCCTCAGACAACCTAAAATTTTTACTTTTCTTGGGGATGGTCTTGCCCACTGCCTCCTACACAATGTCATGAACCTCCATCCATAGTTCTTCAGGCACTCTTATCAGATCTAATCCCTTGAATCTATTTGTCATTTCCACTGTACAATCATAAGGGGTTTGATTTAGGTCATACCTGAATGGTCTAGTGGTTTTTCCCTACTTTCTTCAATTTCAGTCTGAATTTGGCAATAAGGAGTTCATGATCTGAGCCACAGTCAGCTCCCAGTCTTGTTTTTGCTGACTGTGTATAGAGCTTCTCCATCTTTGGCTGCAAAGAATATAATCAGTCTGATTTCGGTGTTGACCATCTGGTGATGTCCATGTGTAGAGTCTTCTCTTGTGTTGTTGGAAGAGGGTGTTTGCTATGACCAGTGTGTTCTCTTGGCAGAACTCTATTAGCCTTTGCCCTGCTTCATTCTGTACTCCACGGCCAAATCTGCTTGTTACTCCAGGTATTTCTTTTTTTTTTTTTTTTCCCTCCCCCACCCCCACTCCCCTGTATTTCTTGACTTCCTGCTTTTGAATTCCTGTCCCCTATAATGAAAAGGACATCTGTTTTTGGGAGGGAGGGGGGTTAGTTCTAGAAGGTCTTGCAGGTCTTTAGAACCGTTCAGCTTCTTTAGCATTATTGGTTGGAGCATAGACTTGGATCACTGTGATATTGAATGGTTTGCCTTGGAAATGAACGGAGATCATTCTGTCGTTTTTGAGATTGCATCCATGTACTACATTTCAGACTCCTGTTGACTATGATGGCTACTCCATTTCTTGTAAGGGATTCTTGCCCACAATAGTAGATATAATGGTCAACTGAGTTAAACTCACCCATTTCCCCACCTTGGGTAGTTTTATTTTCTTAGTTTTTGTTGCCCTGTCATTTCACTGTGTTAGGTCTGAAAATTAATTTTTTATTTACTCTGCTTGGGATTCTGTGTATCCCTTTAATCTTAAGTCATAAGATCATTTTAATTTTGGAAATATTTTGGCATAAACTTTGAATACTGCTTCTTCATACTTCCCAGTCTCTCCTAGGACTCCTATTAGAAGTAATTTAGATTTTCTTATTCTATCATTGTCTCTTCTTTTTAATGCAAAAGCTCATCTTTGAGAGCTGTTTTCTATAGGAATGCCACATACCAAGTGTTTACCAACTCAGTTTTATATTTTTCTCTTCAAGGATCAGTTTTTCTGTCATTTTCTACACCTTTTCTTGACTCAAGATTCCTGACAGTGATGGTAGTCTGAATCCACACCACTTGGTGTTCTGATTTCTAAAAGTTGGATCGACAGCTTCCTTACTCTGTCTCCTAGCTCATGGCTAGAAGTGTCCTAGCTGTCATTTCCTAAACAAGAAGAGCCTTTAAACATTGAGCTTTAAAATAGGGAACTCAGGTACCCACAAGCATGGACTGGAGATCTACTCAATCCCAGCCTCTGTCATGGCATCTGTATATCTTCAGCTTTTGTGCCTGATTTGAAGATAGAAATCCTGGATGAGGCATAATGGATACTATCTGGTGTGTCAAAGGGGTGTCTTTACGTGTTAGTAAATTCACATTCGTGACTTGTGCTGTGTGTAACTCCCACCCATAACTTTTTACTCTAGGGTTTTCTTTTTTGAAGATTCAGATCAGCTGGACTGATTTTGTGGTGGTGGTGGTCACTCACTCAGTCATGTCTTGACTTTTGGCGACCCCATGGACTACAGCACGCCAGGCCTCCCGGCCCATTGCCAACTCCCAGAGTTTACTCGAACTCATGTCCATTGAATCGATGATGTCATCTAACCAATTCATCCTCTCTTGTCTCCTCCTCCTCCTGCCTTCACTCTTTCCCAGCATCAGGGTCTTTTCCAATGAGTCAGTTCTTTGCATCAGGTGGCCAAAGTATTGGAGCTTCAGCATCAGTCCTTCCAATGAATATTCAGGACTGATCTTTAGGATGGACTGGTTGGATCACCTTGCAGTCCACAGGACTCACAAGAATCTTCTCCAACACCACAGTTCAAAAGCATAAATTTTTTGGTACTCAGCCTTCTTCATGGTCCAACTCTCACATCCATACATGACTACTGGAAAAACCATAGTTTTGACTAGACAGGCCTTTGCTGGCAAAGTAATGTCTCTACTTTTTAATACGTGGTCTAGGTTTGTCATAGCTTTTCTTCCAAGGAGCAAGCATCTTTTGATTTTGTGTATGTGGTACAAATACTTGGGTTTGCCATGTTTTCAAGGCTTTCTGTGTCTTATTTCTTTGGATGTTATAAGACATTTAAGATAAGCTGGTGGATAGTATTTCTTGTTCTTTAACTGGAAATTATGCATCCTTAGTGGGTAGTAAACTTCAGTTGGTGAAGATTTTAAATGATATCAAGAAAGATACTAAGACATTTCAGAAGCTTGATTCATTCGTCCTGGCCAACCATTTTCCAAAATTTGCCTGATGGTCACAAGTGTGTGAGAATGGGTAACAGCACAAATCTATATTCATTCCCACAAAAACAGCCCTTAATTATGGGTAAATAACACTTTGCAGAAAAGAAAGCCTTAACATTTAAAACATGGAAATACGGGTATGAAGATCATTCTCTTTAAAATGAATTATGGACTGATCCTTCAGGCTATTCAAAGATATGTCTCATTAGATCTTTTTTACCTGTTTCTTCCTCTTCAGTGCCCCTGTCGATGGAGGCTGAGGAGCTAACTGCTTACAACCAGCATTCTGGTTGACTCCGCAAGAGATGGGGAGATGGAAGGAAGGAGTGACAGGGTGGGTCCCTTAGACACCCGTTACCTCACTTTTATGTCCTTACCACCTCTTATGTCCACTCTCACTGAGCTGTGTTTTTCCCCAGGCTCCTTTATGCTCTGAGGGTGGTTTTGGGTTCAGGTAGTTGCTTGTCTATGGGGTCTCCCTATTTCTTGGTATTGCCCTTAAGCCTGTCCTTATTTCCATTACAAAGAAAATCCCATCCGTTCTCTTCAGAATCCCCTCGGCTTGCTTTCACTTGAGGGCCTAAACTCTGGACTACATGACTGTAGTCCTAAATCTTCACATAAAAGTCCTCCTTCCCAATCAGTTCCGTTTTTGGCTAAGAATTCACTGCATTTTGAACAGAGATCACTAAGAATGTTAAAAAAAAAAAAAAAAAGGACACATTTTCTACCTTTACATGCAACAATACATAAATTCAACTTGTCTTTAATGAGAAGAACGTATTTTCAAACCAGTTAACCTGTATATATTTGTGTATTTAGTTTTTTTTTCCATTTATTTTTATTAGTTGGAGGCTAACTACTTCACAATATTGTAGTGGTTTTTGTCATACATTGACATGAATCAGCCACGGATTTACATGTATTCCCCATCCCGATCACCTCTCCCACCTTTAGTTTTTATTAATAGCAGTTTAGGCTTGCAGTGCAGCTAAAAGGAAGTCACTGCTAATGAGTAAATTATGTTGGTCATCCTAAATATTCTCAAATGCCAGTGATTCACTGTGGTCACAGATAACTCCTTTCTGCTTTATCATTAGAAGCTCCTATAAGAAGTGTAATTTAAACACTGGCGCAAAACAGAGACATGGACCTACAAAAAAGGAGCTGAGTCTGATAATTAAGAACCAAGGCACAAATGCCACACTCTTAAGTGATTGTGTTTCTAGACAGTTTTGTCCAAACTTGTCCATCTGCAGTGAAATATTTTAAATTCTCCAAGGAAGTTTCCTAATTCATCTATCACTTCAATGAGTGTCTGTTACCTAGCAGTGAGTGAGTTACTATAGGCAGTTAAAAAAAAGTAGAAAATAAGGTCCTACTTTTCTGGGAAGCTTTGTGAAGGGGTATAATTGCGAAGACATACCCAGGAAAAAAATGAATCCACATCATAAATCTATACACAATGAAGTGACAGTAAGACTGGTTTAAGAACATTTTTTTTGCCTCAGAAAAGATGGTTTGTGAGGCACTCAGTGAAGTGACCTGAAATGTCTCCTTCATAACAGACCTGGTTATTTCAGCACTCACTGGCATTGATGTGACAATTCTCTGGCATTTGTGTGTGTGTGTGTGTGTGCGCATAAGGAGGTGGTAAAGCCATAGCAAGGTACATGAATTGCAAAGGAACACAAGCCTGGGGAGAATACCAGTGGGTAGAAGCGGAGGCAGCCGGGCATACGTCTGCATGTCACAGTGAAATGCCAGGCTGCAGTGGGATCTCATTTAACTGTAGCTCATAAAAGGGTTGAATAGCCTGAGGTAAAGTGAAAATGGGAAGGGGTTCCTTGGGGTGAACTCCACATCTTCTAAAGACTAGCAAAAAAGGACTCAAAGAGACCTCTTAGAAACATGGTTTGTTTAGGGAACACAACAGATGAGCATCCAGAGCTTGCCTGAAAAATAAGGGCAAGAGGCCAAGCATGGGCTGCAGCTAGAGAAATGATTGACAAAGGAGGTGAGGTGCAGGTCTCCAGGACCAGCAGGTGCTTGAGAGGCCACTTGGAGGCGGAGGTGCACGTGTCCTTGAGAAGGACAGTGAGAGACTCCCAGCTGTAGGGGACTCCAGTAGGGGTCTCCAAAGAACCTGCAAAATGAAAGTGCCTAACCAACAGAGCAGTGGTTTTAAATACATTCTACGGTCCAGGGAAACCAGTTTCAGACTGGCAACAGTCAAGGAACACCTTTTCTGAGCTCTTACCACCCATCACACCCTCAGCTTCAGAGAAGATGGCTGAACAAACAAGGGAAGAAGAACGGGAGAAACCCAAGAAGCTGGCCACACACACCTTTTCCACCCCGCCAGGCTTTGAGGCTGCAGCAGGGATAGGAATGGAGAAACTACAGACTTGTTGAGAATTTACACTGCTTCGGTCTACCAGCTGCTGCACTGGGATGAGCAGAGAGGTTTTTGGTCTGATTATCTAGCATAGGGCCTGTCCTAGATTTCACCCAGCGTGCAGGGAAGAACTAGTTCCCCAAAACAGGTTAGAACAGGCTGGAGGGGCAGGGGAGTGGTGAGTGGGCAGAGGGAGCAGAACTGTTTTCAGACTTCATTCTGTCAATCATGTTATGTTCAGGGTGATGTTAGAAAGTCAAGGCTACAGTGATGATGGGCTGCCTGAGAAGGGCCAAGGCATAGTACTCTCTACCCTCCATGGGTGTTCAAGGCACAGCCCCAAATTCCACCTGGGGCAATGCAGGGCTGGGAGCCCCTTCAGGGCAAGACCTGCAAGGGTACCACCTTCTAGGGGAAGTACCAAGTGATTAAAGGCCTGTGGAATTACAGACCTGTCTGGACCACTGCTGAGTAGAACCCAGATTAGGTCCCATGTTAAAGAAGGAAGGAGTTCAGCCTGGCTCCTGGAGTTCACCTTTCTCCAACTCTCTCCACTACTCAACGAGTGTGGTTATTAGTTGCAAGGAGTCAATGAGGCTATCCGACTCTACCTAGGCCAAAGATGCAAAATGGGCTCATGGATGCCCAGTGAGCATGGTGCACCAGGAGACTGAGCAAGAATGTGAGCCCAAGTTCCAACCGGATTGAGGGTGATGTCCCTATAGGGTCCTCTCCTCACTTTCCCAGAACTAGCCAACCTGTCTACTACTTCTCAAAGTGGCTGGTTTTGATTGAGGATTCCTGGGTTCAGGATGCCAACTATCTCTACATCCCTTGCAAACACAACAAAACCTGCTAGTGGGTTTCTGGACGGGTGTGTGTGAGTTTAACCAGATATAATGGTTTATGGCTGATTCCTTTGTAAACCAAATAACCACATCCACAATTTTTAAAAATAGGTATTTTCATATATCACATTTACTTCTAGTAAGGCACACATATATAAAATCCATTCTCAACGCAAATTGTCAAGTCATAAAATCTACCTTAAAGCCAAAATAGTATGGTTGGAATATTCTGACATGCTTACCTCACTTCTAGATTCAGTGGTTTTTTCTGCCTCCCAGGCAGGCTTATCTGCTACTTTAGTTTCATCTTCATTCTTCTGCTGTAGTGATTTTTCCTTTTGGGTTGATGATCTTTGCTCATTTTCTTCATGCTGGGGACTGTGGCCCACACCTTTTAATACCTCATTCTCCTATAAAAAGGACCGACCCCAAAATGTGCTAAGTACAAATCCACATTTCATCAAATAAGTAAAATCTTTAAAACTGTTTTATACTTACTGCTCAGTGATCAGGAAAACCCAAGTTGAAAGCTAAGACTGACATTTCATTATTTTGGTATCAAAGAAACATTTTAATTCTGAAACAAAGGTCACTTTTGTGTCCTGTCCTTATAAAAACTCAGTGAGACAGGCTGTTCTGATCTGGATAATGTAAATTATTTGCATTTATAAACCCCCTGACTTCAGGGAGGTTAAAGAGAGTTGACTTCATTTTATACAGTTCTATACTGTTTGAATGTTTTACCACAAACATGTATTTCTTTTACAATCAGGAAAAAGGTAAATATTTATTTTGAAAAAAAGTTAATGATAAAGCTTAAACTAACATCTCCATTGATATTGTCAACCATGCTTATTTATACAGATGAGTCCTTCACCTTTATCTTAGGAGACAGATAATTAAAAGGCTAGAGAATTCTTCTGAACATTCAGACAGTTGCCATTTAGCATATAATATATATTCTGATACTTCCAATTATATTAAAACTTCTCTGTATACTGTTTCCCCACTAACATAACATCAAGGCCTCTTAAATTCTTCCCAAGGATTTGTTTTTAATTTCACTCTTCCAGCAACAAAACACACTGGACTAACTCAAGGACAGCATTACTGCCCCCTACTCTAAACCATAGGAATGTTAATCTTTAAAAAGAAAATAAAAGTCAAAGAAATGTAAATACACAGATGCTAAAACAAGGAGAGAAATCAAAGCAAGAGCAGAAGAAAAAGGAGGCTAATGTGCTGATGGCTCACTTGGTTTTACTTGCTTCTCTGTTCACTGTACCAAATTCTTGACACTGTGGATGTTGGTCTTCCTACCTCAATGATCTCTTATTCACGTCCTCCATCACAAGCAGCTCATGTGCTTGAAGACATTATTTCTGCTACCCTATCCTCTTTTCTGCGTCAACAATATTTCCTTGTCTATTGGATAATTCCCGCCAGCCTTCCAACACACAGTATCTAACACCTACATCTGCTGGATCATGGAAAAAGCAAGAGAGTTTCAGAAAAACATCTGCTTTATTGACTGTGCCAAAGCCTTTGACTGTGGGGATCACAACAAACTCTGGAAAATTCTGAAAGAGATGGGAATACCAGACCACCTGACCTGCCTCTTGATGTGTATGCAGGTCAGGAAGTAACAGAATGGGACATGGAACAACAGACTGGTTCCAAATAGAGAAAGTAGTACATCAAGGCTATATATTGTCACCTTGCTTATTTAACTTATATGCAGAGTACATCATGAGAAATACCAGGCTGGATGAAACACAAGCTGGAATCAAGATTGCTGGGAGAAATATCAATAACCTCAGATACACAGATGACACCACCCTTATGGCAGAAAGTGAAGAAGAAATAAAGAGCCTCTTGATGAAAGTGAAAGAGGAGAGTGAAAAAGTTGGCTTAAAGCTCAACATTCAGAAAACTAAGATCATGGCATCTGGTCCCATCACTTCATGGCAAATAGATGGAGAAACAGTGACAGACTTTATTTTCCTGGGCTCCAAAATCACTGCAGATGGTGACAGCAGCCATTAAAAGACGCTTGCTCCTTGGATGGAAAGTTATGACCAACCTAGATAGCGTATTAAAAAGCAGAGACATTACTTTGCCAACAAAGGTCCATCGAGTTAAAGCTATTGGTTTTTCCAGTAGTTATGTATGGATGTGAGAGTTGGACTATAAAGAAAGCTGAACATCGAAGAATTGATGCTTTTGAACTGTGGTGTTGGAGAAGACTCTTGAGAGTCCCTTGGACTGCAAGGAGATATTACCAGTCCATCCTAAAGGAAATCAGTCCTGAGTATTCATTGGAGGGACTGATGCTGAAACTGAAACTCCAATACTTTGGCCACCTGATGCTCAGTACTGACTCATTTGAAAAGACCCTGATTCTGGGAAGACTGAAGGCAGAAGGAGAAGGGGACGACAGAGGATGAGATGGTTGGATGGCATCACCAACTCAATGGACATGAGTTTGGGTAAACTCTGGGAGTTGGCAATGGGCTGGGAGGCCTGGTGTGCTCCAGTCCATGGGCTTGCAAAGAGTTGGACCTAACTAAGCGACTGAATTGAAGATGTTATTGTATTTATTTGTTGTCTAATCTGTCCCACTAGAATGCAAGTTTCCTGAGGGCAGGGACTCTGCTCGATTCCTGCTGTATGCCCTCTGCCTACACCACAGCCTGGCACACAGCAGACCCTTAATAATAGTTGCTGAACAGATGAACTCCTATATACAACATCCTAAAAGTTTGATGTGATTTCTGATGAGATTCCATAGTTTGGCTCTTTTCTGCAACTGAAACACTGATTCCCATCTAAATTCAGGGAAGAAGGGAAAAGATAAGACTGGTCAACACTCTTTTAACCTCAATCTTTTGCCAAGAGAAGGTTTCTTTTGTTAAGCCTTAAGAGAATCTAATTCAAAATTCTAGATTCCTGAGGCAGTTAACTTTGTTTACAAATAAATTTGCTGCTGGTGGGCATACGAGCTTCTAACCTCTAAATCACAGGATCTATTTTAGAACCATGAAGCAAGGTCCCCTTAGTCTGTAATATCAGAATAAATACAGCACATGTAAGAGAGACACATAAACTTGCAAACATGAGAATGTTATCTATAACAATACATAAATAAACAGTAAGAGGAAACCAGTGGCTAATACCTAACTACATCAAGCCCATAAGGAAACTTTCAGAGTGTATGAGTTTGGTAACAAAAGTCTGTAAGATTGCCTGCCTTAAAACTCAGGAGAAGAATGGAAGACAGAGAAATTCTGTATGACCACAAATCACATGGCAAGAAAATAGGTTAAAAACCCTATTATATAATAATGGATCATAACTCAATAAATGTGTTAAATAAAAGGACCAATGAGTTCATTTCAGTATAAACAAGTAAATGAGGAAAAAGGGAACTATCTCCCTTACAGTAGAATGCAACTAATAAATATAGGAGGAGAATGATGGAGTTAGAAAATCATGAATGAATGCTGAAACTAGGGAATAAAAACTTGATGAATAATATTTTAAGTAGCCTCAAAGTATCACCCCAGATTCCTTTTTAATTACAAAGAGAAAAATAACAACCCTTCAGGAGAAACCTGGCAAACACCATCTAAGCCAAGTAGTCAAACATTATGTGGCAGCCCGGATGGGGGCACGGGGTGTTTGGGGGAAGAATGCATGTGTATGGCTGAGTCCCTGTGCTGTTTATCTGAAACTATCACAACACTGTTAATTGGCTGCACCCCAACACAAGATACGTTCAAAAGAAAAATAAATAAACCAGTGGTCAAATCTATCATCACCATATGGCGATAAACCAAGATGCCTCCTGACACAATATGAAGGATACAATACCATTTCTGTGGTGTTCATAATCTCAATGTAATGAGGAAACATCAGACAAGTCAAAATGGGGAGCCACTTTACAAAATAATTGGTTGATATTCTTCCAAAATCTAAAGGTCAAGAACTGAAAGAACTTTCCCATGTTAAAGGTGATTTAAGAGATTTGACAAGTAAATGCAATGTGTGCTCCTGGGTGAGACACAGACCCAGGAGAAAAAGTAGCTACATAGGATATTACTGGGGCAACAGATAAAATTTGAGTATGGATAATAGATTATAGTTTTAGATTCATGTTAAATTTTCCTGATTCTGGTTAACTGGTTATAGATCATACTAGTAAGTACTATACATAATGGCTGCAATTCATTCTTAGATGTTTCAGAATGAAAGAACTGTATGTGTATATAGATGTAATTATAAACAGGTAACTCAAATGGGGCCAAATGTAAACAACAGGCAAATCTGAGTAAATATATATACTATTCTCACAACTTTTTTTAAAGTTTGAAATTATATCTAATTAAGTTATCCCCTAAAATTCCTACATGGCAAAATCATTTTGTCCAAGGCAACCACAGAAGGTAGTCTCAGAAAAACTATTCTTCCATTATAAGTCCTGTTAATCTGTATTTTCTCCCCAAAGTATATACAGTCATGTCAACTGCTTTACTAATTCTTTTTCACCTCTTCTTTCTCATGATTTAAATTTATTTCATTTTCTTGTCTAATTGCTTTGCTCATGCTTTCAGAATACTGCTCAATAATAATGATATCTGATGTAAAGGAAAACAGTGTCGTCCCTCCATTCTCAATGGTCTGCTACTTCACTTCTGGCACCAGACATGTGGGCTTTTCACACACCTGGCAGTTCTGTGACACCACCTGTGTGTTCTATAACTTAATTCAGTTCTGACACTATCTACCTAGAGGTAGCATCAGATCCCACAGGTCAAAGGCTCAGTCTCAAAACTGCTACCTCTCCCTCCAGAGGTCAGTTCCAAGTCCAGGTGGTCACCTGTGCTTCCACCAAGTGCCTATAAGTTAAAGGTCCCCATAACCCTCCTCCTCCTCTGTTGTGATTAGTTTGCTAGAATGGCTCACAGATCTCAGGAAAACATGTAACTCACTAGATTACCATTTTATTACAAAAGGACACAACTCCGAAACAAACAGATGCCTAAAGGTAAGGACTGTGGAAAGGTCACAAGCTGGCACGCCTGCGCCACTCTCCCAGCACCACCATGTGGCCACCAAACTGGAAGATCTCCAACGTCCTCCTTCTGGCTTTTTATGGAGGCATCACTACACAAGCATGGTTGATCGATCACTGGCTGTTGGTGACTAAACTCAATCTACAGCTGCTCTCCCTTCCCCAGAGGTCTGGTGGGGAAGGGGGGGTTAAAGTTCTAATCCTCTCATCATGTGGTTGGTTTCCCTGGCAACCAGCCCCCATCTTTAGGGGGCTCTCTCAAAGCTACCTCATCAACAGAATGAAGAGACTTCCCTGGTGGTCCAGTGGCTAATATTCCACAATCCCAATGCAAGG